GTACAATGTTGGACTTTTTTTTTTTTTTCTTTTTCTACCCTGCGTGTATCTTATTGTATAAACGTGGGACGCTAAAAAATATAGTGGGCTTTAGGACGGCCATATCCTCCAGTAATTTTGTAATATCCTGCAAAAGTAAATAAATATCAAAATTTGTTCACAGGCACAAAGTCTCTCATAGTAATAATCACTGGCAAAAGCTTAAGTCATGATTATTAATAAGGCTGAGACTAAGGCAAATAACAAGGAAATTTGAGTGTCTTACTCCTTGATAAAATCCAGATGCTCCTCCAAAATACACCAGCATGGCCTGGTTAACTCTCTCATATATGTGAGCCAGCGGTAGATACGATATATGCCTGCCGAGTTAAAACAACACTTTACCATGAAGATAGAATTCCACAAGGTAAGGAAAAACAAAAAAAAAAACGTCTTAACATATAAATAAATAAATAAATTGATAAATCGGAAAAAGAAAAGCACATAATATACTTAAACTTACACGTCAGACGGATAAAACTCGACTCCTAAGCTTAGACCAGCAATACTAGCAATAAAGTTCCCATGTGTAATCTCAACTCCCTATTAATGTTGGTAGGATTAAATTTGATTTTAAGTTATTATATCTAGAAATTACATTTTTTTCCATACTCAAATTTATACCTTTGGAGTTCCAGTTGTACCACTCGTATAACATATGGTGGCAATATCATCATATGTGGGTACTCGGAAAGGTTTAAGGCTTCTACTGCCCTAAAAATCAAGACGTAATCAAGTATGATTTATCTTGCTAATACAATATGAGCTAAAAGAGTCACTCTATATTCATGTGTTAGTAAAAGTAATACTGACTTCACTGTGAAGTGTTGAATAGGGAATGATCTTGACACCAGTTGTCGATGGAAGCGATGGCATCTGGCCTTCTGAGCCTCCAACAACCTAAAAAGAGCTCTTAAAGCACATTAGGACAACCTCGGAACATTAATATGAAATTAGAACTATTTTGGTCACGAGAACATACCACAATCAAACGCACAGAAGGAATCTTAGATAAGAAGCTCAGCAGCTGCAAATCAAGTGAAGTTAAGGGAACTAAACAAATTACGTTTTTTTTTTCTTGTTTTCCATCTTAAAAGAAAATAATAATAATAGATAGATTTTCCATTTGTGATTTCTTGTTTGCAGACATGGTATTCACTATCTTCAAGAATCATGTGTTAATGCTCACAATATTGAACTATGAGGCACGCAAAATAACGCTTGCACGGAGGTATGATTCACAATGTACTTCACTGCGTCTGGACCTGATATGTGAAAATGGACAAAAACAAAATAAAAATTGTGAATACCTTGTATTTTGATAAAGATCCATTATGGGATTATAATGTAATAGTTATTTTCCTGATCACTACTAACCCATAATGTCATATAAGGGAATTGAAACAAAGGAATATGAAGAGCAGGCATGGTCAACAATAAGCCACTCGGGCCGGTTTATGAAATACAGACCAACACAGCTGTCCTGCAGAAATAACATGAAATGAACACAAAAATTAAAAGAAGAAAACAAACAAGAATGAAAGAAATATAGAGAGAATGTAAGAATAGCCTCATGTTAGATTCTACTACACCAGAATTCACTTCAACATACAAATAAATCATCCTATTCAAGCTTGCCTTTGGTAACTGATAACTGATTAAACCGGAACCAATTGCTGATCGAGAAGCACCTGCTTCACCATATGTCATCCATTTGTACCTGTACCATGACTTCACATATTGACGTGCTTGCAAAAAGTTATTTTGGGACATGGGGCTCGAACACACCCTCGCCCAAGGGTGGCTCCGCCCACTAGAACCTATATTTTATCAATCAAAAGCTGGAAATCAATGTTCTAAATTGAAATTTGAGATATAAGCTTACTCTCCAACTGTCCCATCTTCACGAACCCGTGTTCCCAAGTAATTGTTGTTTCTGAATCTCTCAACGGCGCGTCTTTTATCACCCAAATTAAGGTCAAAAACAAGAGGCAAAAAACCTGTTCTTGATCAATGTAAAGCAAAGACGAAGGAATATGTATAATATATATATATATATATGGTAGGTCAAAGACTTACTTACTCAAAATGATGATGCAAATTGGATATGTGGGGATGATTGATAAAGGTAGTGATGAGTTTGAAGGGAGAACGCCGATTTCTGTATACATTCCATTTCCCAGTCTGCAATCTCTCGGGAAGCACTACGCTGTAACCTTGCTCTGCTAAAAAACAGTACAACTATTTGAAGCTAAAAATAACAACAACAACAACAATTTAGTCTTTTTGTCTCAAACGAGTTGAAGTAGGCTAGAGATGAAAGTCGTGTATTTAAATATAAGATGGTAAGTCGTGTACGTGACTATGTCATTTTAAATATGATTAATAATATTTTTTTTTTCAAAAATGTATATAAAAACTAAAAAAAAAAATTATAGTTATTTATGTATTTCATTTTAAAAATGTTCTTTCTAACTAGTACTAGTAGTACACGGTAAGGCAGAGCATGGGACTCGGAGAAATTTCGAATCGTTCCAAGAAAATCGAACTAAACCTGAAATCGTTGACCGTTTGGCTTTCTCCCAACCGAACCGAAAAAATAATTAGTCCGGTTCTGGAGATTTCAAATATTTGTACCGAGAACCGAACTGAACCGTCTCATACCGTACCGAACCGTAGAACTGAAATTAAGAACCGAATTATAAAAATAGATGTGTGCTATTAATATATTTTATGTCAACTTTGAACTATAATTTGAAAGTTTTTAAAATGGAAATAAAATATAGTTATCATAATTAAGCTTCACTTAAATTTCATACTTAATAATATTTGATCTACAATTGAAATTTCCTGGTTTAAAAAACACATAGTTAAAATGGTATAAAAGGTTAAAGAAATATTTTTTTTTAAAAAAAAATGTAAACATTACTAAAATTTTGTAGATAGTAGTATTATTCTATCTTACTAGTACAAATCTCGTGCCATGCACGGGCAAGATATATTCTTTAATATTTATAAATTAAAAATGCTCATTAAATGATATTCTTAAATTAAAAGTATGGAATCAATACGTAATACAACTTACCGATATTAATTTGTTGAAAATGTTATATGAAATATAAATTTTGCAATAATTACATTAAGTATGCCTATTAAGTATGCCTCTCGACACTCATTATATTCAAATAAATAATATATAATTTTTCACATTTGGTATTTTTTTATTACAATAATGAGATATTAAACATAAATAACTATGTTTAATATAAAGTCTTAGAAAAAGTTTTATGTAAAAAGCCCGTCCGTGCATCGCACGGGATACACACTAGTGCTATCGTGAAGTAGTCATGGTGATTTTTTTTTTTTTTGGCTACTTGCTCAAAATCCAACTAGATTGTTCCAGAAACAAGCGATCATCCAGCCCGAAGGCCTTAGTCATGGTAAAAAAAAATTTCTTCAAGCACTTGCCCATTCCGGCAGGATTGTTCCTTAAACAAGCGACTACCTATCTCGAAAGCCTTAGTCATAGTGGATTTTTTCTACCGAACAACTCAAACACTTCGACTACCAAATGCAAGATTACGTTGAAAAAGAAAATAAAAAATAAAAAAAATCAAACACATTTTTTGACTTCACTTTCCTCTTTGTACATGACGACCTGCATTGCCGCTTATTCTCCGTTGTCCATACCTCACCGCAACCAAGCAAGTGTGTATGAACATCAAGTCCACATGCCCATGTATTTTTCTCAACAAGAATTCAAAAATACCATTAGCCGTATTTTATCAACATCAGCTAATTTGCAATTCCAATAGCAATAATAAAAAGAGATCAATAAATCAAAGCGGTCAAAGTGGTCCACGTGCGTTTATGTCACACCTCAATTTATAAACAAGCACCTTTACCACGATATGTAATCACATAAACATCCACTCAAAGACATTGTCAACCAGAATTAGTAGGTCTTCAGCTAAAGCTGAGTATAGGGCCCTAGCCCTCGCCACTTGTGAAATTCAATGGTTGATATCTCTCTCATCTGAAATTAAAGTTCCACTTACTACCCCTTTTTCCATGTTCACAGATAGCAAATTAGCTTTAGCTATGTCATCCAACACTATGTTTCGTGACAGGACCAAACACATAGAATTGGACTACCATTTAAGAAGAGAGAAGAGAAGATAGGCCAAGGTGTCATCCATCTCACTCACATCTCCACCAAAGACCAACAGACTTCCTCACCAAAGCACTACCTGACCCTATCTTCCAAATTGAGCATGCCCAACATACATGCTCCTGGGTAAGAGAATAGAATAAGGCATATTTGTATTAAAAGTGTTATTCATATAACAAAAGTGTAATTAGCACTTTAGCATTTTTAATTATTTTGTATTAGTATAAATAGCTTCCTTTGTAAACCCTCGCATCATTCATTCATCATTTTCTGTTCTCTCTTTTCACCAACAACCGCACTCTCAATTCCGTTTCAATACAACCATTCAATCTTTCTCTGTTTATGCAAATATTGTGTTTGACTGCTATCGGATGACTTTCAAAGAGCAAACGTTTTGAGCTGCCAATCCCTTTTATTTTCAAATACAGTCCCTCGAAGACTTAATCGATAAATGCATAATTTTGGCTACCTATCATCACGCAAGAGTGTCGTTTCTTGTAAAGACAAAAGGGATAGCAGAGAACCTGCTAAAACTTTGAAAAGAGTAATATCTACGATATAGAAGAAATTTAAAATCTTTAATTTATTCAACTTAATCAGAACTTGTCCTAATGCAGATTTCGAAAATCATTATGGGAGCCTGTGGAGGTTTGCCTTTAGACAACAAACAAAATGGCAAACATTATGGTCTTGAACATTCTCAATCTATTCAACTGACTGGATCTTTTCTTACATATCATTTGTCCAAATTCATAGCAATTTATTGTTGGAAGCATCAGCTGCTGAGAGCTCATTGTACATATCGGCTATTGCTGTAGCGAAGTAACTTCTTGCTTGTGGCCGTTTGATCTGCGAGCAGAAGATTTACATCGGTACAATGTTGGTTTTCTTACATTTTTTACAAAGATTAAAGTATCTTAACTGTAAACTTTTAAATTTGTGGTGCAAAACTGCCATATCCGAATTAAACTTGTTCAATCGCGAAGCCCACGACTGCCCCAATTCAGGTCGAATTTTCCAAGTTAAAAACAAATAAAAAAAAAAAAAAAAAACTTGCCTTGAATGTTGGAGTCAACAATCCATTTTCCAGCGCGAATGGCTCGGGCACGAGGGTAACAGCTTTTGCATATTCAAAACCTCGAAGCTGCAAGTGGATGTGTCTATTATTAGGCAAGGTATTGACAAACACAAAATAATGCTGGTATAATGTTGTTATAACGACTTGTGGTTATTACTTGAGCTTCCCTTGCAACAGCATTCATATCGGACAAAACGACTGCTCTTGCCCGTGGATCAGCACACAGTTGTTCTAAGTTTTGATGCTACACTCAGAAAAAATCAAAGAGAATTGCACGGTAAGTAGTTTAAAGGGGGAATATTTGTTCGTAGTAAGCTAAAATAAACTTGAGGTTTCTCTTGCTTTACGAACACCTCCTTTGACAAGTTCCATTTACTAAAATTGCACCAAACGTGAACAGATATTCGCCATTGTGAAAGATAAAACTCAATTTTTTTGTAATTTGGCTAAGTACAGGGTGGTCTACGTAATCCTCCCAAAGAACTATGAAAAAAAAAGTATGCCAATTTTGTGTAGACATTGAACCTTGATGCCTTCAGCTGAAGCCCATGCTTTTAGCTCCTCATGGTCCACAGCCACAATCGCGACCAGACAAGAATTGAGGCTGTCACCTAGCAAAAAAACGTAAAAGAAAAACAAATTTTCTCAATTCGGCTTAAAATGACATTTACCTGAACTTCTACACAAAAACACATAACGAAAAGAAGGATTATGGAGCTTCATATACTCTCACCGTGTATAAAGCATTGTGCGACAAATTTGCTTGTAACATATACATTTTCTATCTTCTCAGGAGCTACGTACTCCCCCTGTGATAATTTGAAAATGTTCTTTTTCCTGTGATAATTTATTCTAGTTACAATTTCCGAACAGACTTCATGCATAAACTTTTTTAAGTAACTTTCGAGCACTCATTTACATTAACTCATACCTATCAATTATCTTCAGTCGACCACCAGGTAACCACTGTCCTATATCTCCACTGTGAAGCCATCCATCATTATCGATTGCTTCTCTCCTGATTCAAGTTATGTGTAACTAATCAAAATTTAATATTCAAGATTCTATTTAACTACAATATTCAAAAGACACAAAGAAAAACTAAAAGATATACGTTTGGGCTTCATCTTTATAATAGCCTCGGAACACAATGGGCCCCCTAACACAGATCTCACCACGTGGATACGGTTTATCCTCAGATGTGTAGTTCATTTCTGGAACATCCTCAAGTTTTATTTCTGAAAAACGGTTAAGAAAGTTTTTTGGTGAAAATGGTTGTAAGAAACTGATAAGTTATCAAATGTGCTTGTATCACTCACCACAAGCACCATTAGGGGCGCCCACATGACCCGATAAATTGTCTGTTTGGTCCATAATGCACATAGCAGAAGAAGACTCTGTCATCCCATATGCTTCCAAAACTATGCAATCAAAGCATCTACAAATGGAATATGAGTCAGAAAATAAATAAATAAAAATCAGTATCCTGCCTAATAATATATGACCAAACTTACACACGTAAAAAGTCCAAAATATCAGAAGACAGAGGCGAGGCACCAGAAACCATGAAACGAACTCGGCCTCCAAGAATTTGTTTTATCTTATCGAAAACAAGCCGGTCCCATATTGGTGATGGCTTTTTTCCTGGATAAAAAAATAAATCTCCCTGTTTTACAACGATTATTCACACGCAATTTGTTTAATATGAAATTTTTTAAGTTTTTTATCTTAACAATGTCCATTGATAGTACATCATATTGCATTTTTTTCTGTCAGTACCAATTGTGTTATTCACGTCTTTTACTGCATTTATCAAATACTAAATGCATGAGAAAGTAGAGTTCACGAAATTTGTTACCGTTAAGTACTGATTGCTTCTTAGCTTTATAAGCAACATTAAACAACCTCTGCCTCGGAGCACCCGACGTCTTTACAGCACTGATGATTCTGAAACAAAAACAAAACAAATAGAGTGGTATTCATCACAACACACTAACAGTAGTAAAATGCATCTTTTTGCAAAATGTTGGAGGATATATATTTTTTATTTTTCCTTTTATACCCTGCATGTATTTTATTGTATACACGTGGGACGCTAAAAAATATAGTGGGCTTTAGGACGACCATATCCTCCAGTAATTTTGTAATATCCTGCAAAAGTAAATAACAAAACACAAGGTGATCACAACAATATTTTGCTTGTTATAAAGTAACTCAATGCTCTTCTCATGTAAAGTGGGATAACTCCTAGTCCAACATTCATCAATATTCATGATATTCAAATTATCATTTCAAAGTACGTGGAAATAACTCCTCCACGATGAACTTCACAATTACGATTAGCCACTAATTTATATAGACAGAGTATTTGAATTATGTCCAGTACTATCTTTAGTGCAACTTGAGCTGAAACTAAATACATATAATGTATCATCATCATCAACATCAACATACCCAGTATATTCCCAACAGGTTGGGGTCTGGGGGGTCAGTTGTACGCAGACTTTACCCTTGTAAGTATACAAGGAGGCTGTTTCCATAGCGACCCAAGGTGCGTTGCGTCGTTTGATATATTTTTTTCTAGAAACTTCACTAATAGAAGAATCACTAGAATTTAATTGAGCCATTTTGATATAGTCTATTATTAGCACTATGCCAGGAGAATTGTCAACAAAGTAAGGAAATTTGAGTGTCTTACTCCTTGATAAAATCCAGATGCTCCTCCAACATACACCAGCATGGCCTGGTTAACTCTTTCATATATGTGAGCCAGAGGTAGATACGATATATGCCTGCCAAGTTAAAACAAGATAAAAGAGCAAAACACCTATCTAAACATATAAATAAATGAATAAATTACTCGGAAAAAGAAAAGCACATAATATAATTAAACGTACACATCAGACGGATAAAACTCGACTCCTGAGCTTAGACCAGCAATACTAGCGATAAAGTTCCCATGGGTAATCTCAACTCCCTAATAATGTCGGTAGGATTAAATTTGATTTTAAGTTACTATATCTAGAAATTACTTTTTTTTCCATACTCAAATTTATACCTTTGGAGTTCCAGTTGTACCACTCGTATAACATATGGTGGCAATATCATCAGATGTGGGTACTCGGAAAGGTTGAAGGCTTCTACTGCCCTAAATATCAAGACTTAATCAAGTATGATTTATCTTGCTAATACAATATGAGCTAAAAGAGTCGCTCTATATTCATGTGTTAATAAAAATAAATACTGACTTCACTGTGAAGTGTTGAATAGGGAATGATCTTGACGCTAGTTGTGGATGGAAGCGGTGGCATCTGGTCTTCTGAGCCTCCAACAACCTAAAAAGAGCTCTTAAAGAACATTAGGACAACCTCGTAATATTAATATTTTTTATGTTTTTAGATTGATAAATTTGGAAATTAGAACTATTTTGGTCACGAGAACTTACCACAATCAAACGCACAGAAGGAAGCTCAGATAAGAAGCTCAGCAGCTGCAAATCAAGTGAAGTTAAGGGAATTAAACAAATTACTTCTTTTTTCTTGTTTTCCATCTTAAAAGAAAATAATAATAATAATAGATTTTCCATTTGTGTTTTCTTGTTTGCAGACATGGTATTCACTATCTTCAAGAATCATGTGTTAATGCTCACAATATTGAACGTCTGAGGCACGCAAAATAACGCTTGCACGGAGGCATGATTCACAATGTACTTCACTACGTCTGGACCTGATATGTGAAAATGGACCAAAAAAAAAA